CACACACACACACACACACACACACACACACACACACACACACACACTCAGACTCAGTAGGAGTTCATATCCAGACTTTATGTAACTACCTCTTCATGCTGCTTCGCTAGCCTGTCATGAAGTGGGCTCCTTATTAATAAACTATGCCTCAGGCAACCATTACATACATTACATTTTGCACTCACTTTTTTTAACAAACATCAATTAATGCAGAACTGTGTGCAGCGGCTATTCTGAGCGGGAGCTTTTGTCTTTAATTATGCATGAGCTTCATCCGCCCGTTAACGTACGGCTGTACAGGTTTTTACTGAGCTGCTCAGATTGACCTGGCCCTTGGGCATCCCAACACAGGGGGCTCTCGTCTCTTCCTTCTCCACAATGTGGCTGACCAGAGGCTACGATGAAGAGAAATTCCCCAAGCTGGCGAGGGAGACTCATATACACACACACACACACACACACACACACACACACACACACACACACACACACACACACACACACACACTGTTGTCTCTACCAGACATACACAAACACATAGACTCCATTAATCTTAAAATGCTGTTTATGTAGTTGCCTCACGGCATCCAAATACTATCAGATTCATTCAACAAACTGTGGTATTGCAGGTGTGTGATCTTAGATACACAAAGCGTGCCTTGTTTTTAGTGTTTTTAGTACCTTTGTTTTTTGAGTGTGACACAAAAGCACGCACAAAGCGAAGAGGACTCTGTTTTCTGTAGGACACGTTTACTGCCCCCTTCCTCCCCCACCCCCCCAGACCCTGCCTGTCTACAAAGGCTTCCTTGAAGGGTCTCACACAGTGAAATTGAGAGTTTGTGAAATCTCATTTATGTTTAGCATGAATTTGTAGCCATTCCTCTTACAGTAAGCAGTTTTGGGAGACAGCCACAGTAGTTATCTCTCACAACAGTGTACCTATACTGCAAGACAAGGGGTTGCACGTGTGCATCAATATGGTATGTGTTTGGGTGGGAGGTGACGGTGGGGTTTGGGGTTTCAGACCTATTTTCTTTTTAGTTTTTTTTTTTAAGTCCTAAATCAAGTTGTGTCTCTGATGTATCATAGAAGCAGCTCTGTTTGTTTTTTTTGTTTTCAGATCTTGCAGATGGATATGAATGTGATAGCAGCATGAAATTTGTTACCAGCTTTAATACAGGTTGCTCCTGCAGTAGTGGGATCTCGTGTGTTTAATAATTGGATTACGTTGACTTCTTTTTTGTTCTGCCTCCACTCCCTGCCCCCAACCCCCACAGGCTTCCACGCCGTACAGCCTAGAGTCAGAGTCTTTGGGGATGGAGTGTATGATCTCTGGAAGTGCCTCTCCAACGCTGGCAATCAACACTGTGACTAACAAGGTACTACAGCCAGCAATCCAGCCTCCAGCTCCAACACACACCTGGCTACACGGCTGCACCCTGACCCCACCCACTTCTCCAACCACCTACAGCACTATTCCCCACAGAGACAGGAGCACTTTTGTGAAGGGGAGATGCAGGCGCGCACACACACACACTTTCACACAAGCATATGCTCATGTGCCTAAAGCTTCTCTTCATCACAACCCACACCAAAATACACAACTATGTGCCCTGCTGTACCTTTTTCCTCTACAACAACAGGCAGCAGGCTCTTGTTATCTTTAGTGCGGAAATATGATGCTCACACTGGTGCTTGCCTTTGCAACCTGATAGACTGCACACAGTCTTGTGCACATTTGGAAACAGAATACTCCACATGCTATTTGGGGTTTCTGTATTCACACCTGTAGTGCAGGTTGACGCCCGAAAAGTTGTTTTCTCACCGAGTGACCACTCTACAGGTGACCACCCCGGCTGCTGGCTCTGTCTGCTCTCCGTGGCTTTTCTTTTTCTTTTCTTTTCTTTTCTTTTCTTTTTTTTTTTTTAAGCATCCGTGAAAACATGGAAACACTTGTACATCATAGCGCAAAGCTACAGGGACTGCTAGCTGTTAGCTCTGAGTGTGCTGCTCACTCTGAAATTTAAATAGGCTTTTTAACCTTAAGCTCTCATCCTCTGAGCCCAGTGGGGGCAGCTCTCAGGAGTACTTTTAAAAAGCCTACAAGAGTCGCTTATTCATTTCCTGCAAGCATTACAAAAAAGTATGGTTTAACGTGAACTGGGGTGTTCACAGAAAAGATGAGTTAGTGCTTGTATGACAGAGGCTCTTGCGTTTCAAGTTAAAGGCAAGAGTCTGAGCATATTTCTGCGTGTGTTGTAATTTTTATGCATGCACATTTATGTTACAAAGCGTTTCTGCTTGTTTTGAGGAGCATGTCGGTGACAACTACCTAGGGGCTGTTTCTGTAGCAGACAGATTCATTGGCCAAAGTGTGGAGACAGATGACCCTTTTCCTGTTTGAGTACTACAGACAAGCACTTTCCACCGATCTCCACCACCAGCCACTGCATAATAAGGCCCTAATGTTAAGAGCTGACAGTTAAGTCTGGATCCCTGCCATTGAATACCTCCAGCCAAATAACTTAGACGAGTAATAACCGACATGCATAAAAATGACACCCAAAAAACCCATCAGCTGAGCAATTTCAAGCCAGTTTTGTCTTCTTTTGTTCATTTGATTGTGACAAAAAGTGTTATGGCAGTAAAGCGAGCAGAAGACAAAGTGGAATAGCAACAGATCTGAGGTCTGATGTCCTCAGAGAGAGCTTGTTTCTCACTGTCTTACACTGTAAACACACAACAGGCCACGCCTCTTTCGGTGCTGCATGCCAAGCCACAGGAATTCCCTCTCTGTTTTTTTTTTTTTCCTCCTCTCTCTCTCTTTCTATTCTAGTCTCTCTCCCTCATATTCCCGCCTTCTCGCATAGACCAATGGGAGAAGCTGGCAGGACGACTACTGAACCAGCAAGAATCTTCTGTCTAGCATTCCTCACACGATTGTACTCCCTCTCCTCTCACTTTGGTGTCTTTCTCACGCAGACTCAGACTTTTCTTTGCCCCCCACCAAAGATTGTGTTCTGAGATTATCCTAAACACTGGCATTAAAGTGACAAAACTTTGGCACTAATGTGTGGATGATCGAGAGGGGGCAAGGACAGATTGTTGGAAATATGCTTGCTAATGAATAGTTGTTCTTCTCCTCTCATCTCCTTCATGCATCTCATACCCTTTTTGTGTCTCTTCCGCTGTCACCTTGTGTCTGTGCGATCATGCATGCGGGGATTGTGCCGAACATTGGCTGGCATTGTTGGAGACACCTGGGCTTTGATTTCATAATCCATGTCTCATGCACCAGATTAGGCCCCCATGTAAAAGACACCTCTGGCTTTTTACTTAATTCACTGCTAAGAATAGAACTCTGACTCGCTTGCCTGCTAGCCGTACACAGTTTTTACTGTGGAGCTGCTCCTGCCTGTATGAACACGCTTGCCTCGGCCTCTGTGTGTTTATGTGTGTTGTTCTACCTTTGTGCACGTCCGTTGCTGTAGCAATGTATGTCTATTATATGTTACATGCTTCTATGTATGTGGGTGAGACGCGACTGGGTGTTAGCCTGCAACGGTGCGTGTTTGAGTAGGCATCTTCACTCAGGACTTGGTGTTGGGTGGGGATGGGGGTTCTGGGTAAACCACAGAGCACTGAGGTTTTTGAAATCATCACACTTTATGGTTGAATGGTGTAAAAATAGATTGTGGTGAGAGACTTAAGGCTAAAAGCTTGTTTTATGACTTCATTACACATAACATTTATATATCTGTGGCACGCTGTTTTTGATTAGCATTGTAGGGCTGAGTTTGTAGACGTGCTTAAGCCTTCAGTCTTAGCTGCTCATTGAGTTCCCTTTTGCGCTAATGAACGCTGGAGCCAGGCCCACACTGAGTGGAATGAGCTTCTTTTACCACCCCCCTGTTGTCCTCTTCCTCTGCATCACCCCTCTTCCTCAAACAGTGTTCTCTGGATTCAGCATTTGCGCTGTTCAGTTGTGTTGGTTTTTTTTAAATTACACAATTTCTATCTCATTCTATCAGTGCAGAAGCCAAGCTCCATATTAAAGGCTTAATATGATCTGAAGCTCTTGCTCTGTGCTCTGGATTCGCACCAACATATTAGTCAGCCGGCCAATCAGTCAGAGAAGAGAAGACTGGTCAGGGCTGCCTGAATTTCCTCACCTCCTTGGGGCCGCTGTGGTGCCACGCTGTGGCTCAACAGAAAGACAAGAGGCTTCAGTCCATTGCTGCTGCTACTGAGAGGCAGGGTGCTGGACAAGCCGGGCCAATCTGCCTGCCTGAAGGCTACTACAACTGCTGTTTCATTGTGCTCAGCACAGAGCCCACTCTGTTGAGCAGCAGTGATGAGCAGAAGCCACCATGCTGCACTCACACATGGACAGGCACACACAAATCTGAGAATGCCATGCCTTCTTCCACTGCAACACCACCAGCGCGTTACTGCCATTCTTTTCTCACCAAACAAAACTCAGCACATGGGATGGTCTCTGTGGGTGTCATTATATTCATTATCTGGATTATTCTTCTTACTACTGTCTTAATTGTCTGACGGCACACTTTATTTGGGGAATGGCGGGAGGACTAAACCTTGTTAGACAATAATTAAGATTGTCGTCCTGAAGTGCCTCGGCTAGTTTCGCTCCTACATTGAAAGGTCAGTGTCTCGGCTGCACTGAAATCCTTTGTTAGCTGTCCCAAACGGATTTGCGCTTGGTGAGCAGATGTGGCTGACATCGCCAGTAGCATGACCTTTAGTGATGGGAATGTCTCAGCTGTCTCCAGACCCCTTAACACATTCAGATGGAACCCCTTAGTGACTGCGGAGGGTGTTGAGCAGCACCCTATCTCTCTCTCTCTCTCTCTCTCTCTCTCTCTCTTCTCACTCACACACACACACACACACACACACACACACACACACACACACAGTAAAGCGAAAAACTATTCTGCAATTATGACATGCTGTTGCATGCAGCACACACACATCTCCTGGCTTCACATTCCCACTGCTAATATCATTAAACTGCACACCAACATTACCTGTAACACCAATTTTCTTCCAGGAATGCTGATGTACGAGTGCATTTATTTGTGTGGTTGGTTTTTTTGTTTTTTTTTTCTTCTTTTTCTTCTTCTTTTTTTTTTTTAAGACATCAAGGCTAATGCACATGTGTATGCGTTTCAGGTGGCGTTGTACAACACAGACCAGGAAGGGAGTGATAGTCCAAGAAGCAGCCTTAACAACAGCCTGTCTGATCAGAGTCTGGCCTCCGTCAATCTCAACAGCGTGGGCAGTGTGCACAGCTATACAGCGGTAAGAACTAGGATGAATGTTGTTGAGAGAATTGTAGTCATTTTTATGGATTCAGCACTCTAAACATGATCTTAAATGTTCTCTTGATTGCAAAGTTTAACTTTCACATTGACTAATTTAGAAAGGCACTAAAGATGGACAAGCTCTACCTCCCCTCCTAAAAACCCCCAACAAAAAACATGAAACATCAAAAGTTAATGAGACCTGGGTTGGTTGATTCAAACAGCCATAAAACAAGAGGAAACGCCCTCACCTGCACCAGTGTATTTAAAAAAAAAAAAAAGAGCTTTGGAAAAATACAGCAGCAGTTTTATTCCCTGCACTGTACAGTCTCAGGAAATGCATTTTTCTTCTGATCACCAAACACCTGCAACAAAAGAATGGGTTGCTACCCGCTCCCTGAGCCAGTCAGGCTTGATACAGATTTGACGTGGGCCGCGTCTTATTGAGGTTGACCTAAGCGGTGCCATAAAGACCTCAGGTTTATTTGCAGCAATTAATCTGCATCGTTCATGAGAACAAAGAAAAAACAATAAAGGTGCCAGGGCAGGTTGTTCCTGCTGTTCTGCAAAGAGTCAATAGTGTAGAACAGTGGGATTTTTTTTTTGTTTGTTTCTGGCTCTTACTGAATATTTGTAACAGGATATTTATATAAATTTGGTGTAATTGTTGTTTTTTGAGCACTAAGCACTTACAGCCAAATGATAAATTGTCATTGTGTTCATATTTTTCCAAGCCGTAGGAGAGCCACAGTCGCTAAATGAATGAAAATGAAACACTGCCAGGCTTAGAAAGTGTACTGTATCCCATATTTTATCTGCTCAGAAAGTCCCTGGAGTCTTTCTTCAGAGGAGCCAGCCGTAGACGGTAATAGACCGAGGTTCAGGGTGGACATGAGCTGGAGTACAACATCAGGAAGGGGGTTAAGGGAAACAGAGAAAAATGTGCACACTCCTGGAACCCAGACAAAGAGAAGTGCTTCCTCTGATGTCCTCCCACCAGAGATGCCCCCTCTTTGGTGTGGTCCTCCTGCATCCTAGAGCGCTCCGTGCTCCAGGCGCTGGGCATCGATCGGCTCAGCCTGATGGATGTGCTCGCTCTCGCTTCTCTGTCTCTCTCTCACTCTCACACACAGCCAAAGCAGCAGCTCGCAGTAAACACTCCGGCTTTATTATCACCTCTTCACTCTTAGCCTTGCCAGTCTGTGAGCCATGCGCTTCAGCAGCGTGCCCACATATTGGAAGAGGAAGATGTTATGATCAAAAATTGGACGTGAACTCTCTTGTAGTGCTAGCCCACAGTGGTAACAGGTCAGGTCCTACTTTGTGAAATAACCATGGTTTTGTGTTGCTGCACTTGCTGTGGTGAATCTCATAGATAAATTCTTAGCTGGAGGGGACGCTGCTTGCCGTCTCACACCCAGGGGCAGTGCATAACATTGACTGCCCACACAAATACATGGATAAAATGGCTGCTTATTTGTACAAGGTATTGCTATTGATTTTGTTTTAAATACATTTTGCTTAGCCACCTGAGTATTGGCTTTGTGTCCATTCGAGTTGCTCTCTTAATGTTGTGTGAGCCAAGGCGGTAAGCACTGACCTAGATTGTTGTGCTTCGCGTAATTGTTCTTTATATGTAACATGACTGACACCCTTTCAGGCGGAAATAGACATTGTAGCCGTCACTCCTCAGAACAATTAAACCATGCATGTGTTTGAGAACTGCTTTATATTTGATGCGGTTCCTTGATAAGGTGAGCATGGTGTGGGTATCTTTGAAAAGTACAGGTGCTCCTCTACAGTAATCCCTGTAGCTTATACCTTAACCAGTGAAACATCAAACAAAGTGTTAGTCACTTTTGTAACTCTTTGCTGTTGTTACTCTCTTCATTTGTCCAGGTGACCGGTCACCCAGAGCCTGTGTCCCAGTCTATGAGCCTCCAGCAGCCTCCCCAGTCCCAGTATAACATGCCAGACAGGGACAAGCAGCTCTTGTTCTCAGAATTTGAAGATCTCAGTGCCTCCTTCCGCAGCCTTTACAAGTCTGTTTTTGAGCAGTCCTTCAGCCAACAAGGTAAGTGGGCTCACGGGAGCATCAAGTGGAAACCTAATAGAGGGCCTAAGCTTCAATCATCAAGGAACAGGATGATTCTCAGAACGATTTTCCTAATGCGGGTTTGTTCTTAACAGCTGGGGCTATAGAGAGTCTTTAGGCACTAATGAGGTTTACAAAGAATTGAGCAGGTTTTCAAACAGGCTGACGAGCCTATAGTGGAAATCTATACTGAGTATTTTCACGATCTTCTGCCAGAGAAAATGTAAAAACCACCTCATTTAATATACAAAAGCAGAGTCTGAGAGTCTGTGTATTTCATTAACCGACGCAGGCTTAATTCTCCACACGTTTCTTCACGTTAGACAAATGCTGTCTGCATCTTGTCACATGTCAAGTTTTTCACGTAGGGTATGTTTCATCAGATGAGTGGAAGAGGTTGCAGGCAGCTTAAGGCCTCAGTAAATCTGTTGGATTTGAGGTTCATTTGTCATAATGATGGGGAATTTGTATCATATAATACACGGTGTTGGATAGAGCACAGCTTTCCAAAGGGCTGTGAGTCCCTGCAGAACAAAAAGCAGTTTTGCTTGTAATCTGATTGACTGATAAACATGGAGCACTTGACAAGCGAGTTATGAGCAAAGTCGACTGAGCTTTCTGTGTATAACCTACTTTCACAAATCAAATGCATTTCATGCTAATGTTTTCAAAGAGTTCCTCTCCTTTAATCTATCATCTATGTTTCATTAGTTGAAAGTTGTAACCTTTTTTTATGTGCATAAAAGTGAAATCTCTTAGTCAGACAAGCTCTAGCAATTAAAAAGCGTAAATAATCGAGCTAGAGGATTTCACACTCTGCCGCTGTAGACAGTGAGCTAATTCACTGGCTTTGATAATAGGTAATGAGCTCGCATTATTATTCTGGTGCCGCGTTAATTGCTTTCTGTATTTCCCTCGTTGGACAATGGGCTTTCTGTGCCGATAAGAGATGCACCTTTGTCACCCCTGCAGTGAGTGTTACGTGCCGATTGTGGAGGTGCAGGGCTGGAGTCAGCTCTAAAAGCACTCCAGTGAAATAGGTTTACTGTGCCAAAGCTGTGAAGGACAGTGCCTCTTACGACCACTCCCCGGCACTCAGATGATTGCAGTTGGGTGTGCAGATGTTCATGCTCCAGTCATGTCTGCGCAGCAGCACGATGAATCTGTCAAAGACGGCGTAGCTGGAGAAGAGTGTCGACGGCAACTCGAGACAGCGAACCTTAGAATCAAAACTGGTGCTGAGTCATTCCCTGACACGATAAAATGGCAGCTGGCCTGTCTCACTACTTAAATACAGGAGGCCCCTGTCCCATTACTGTCAGATGCTAAGACTGATGACCTGAAGTAGATGTTTAAACATGTGTTGGCTCCCGACTCTTATTTGTGTTTCTGCTTAAGTGCCTTAAATGCATTCGATCCTGCAACCATGCGAGTGCATTTGTTTGGAAAATTAGTAGCAGCTGGAGCTACGGCTAAATATAGTTTCATTATAAATTAATTTTCCATTATTTTTAGATTTTGTGATTCCCAGGGGCCAGGGTAATGTCTACAAATTGCTTTTTGCTGTAATAGAAAATGGTGCAAAATCTAAACGTGGTGATGAGAAACATATAAAAGCAACACATCCTCAAAAGTGAGAAGCTGAAACAAGTACCTAAGTAAAAAGTCAAATTATATTGAGTTATTGTTGAATAATTTTTCATAATTTTCCTTGTTCCTGCACTGATTGTCTTTGTTTTATTGTAAATACAATTAAAAATTAATTGTGTTAATAATTCTTTACTTTATTGATGTTTTATTTTTCAGGTCTGATGGGCATACCGGCAGATTCCTCCCAGCAGACCCACACTTCCTGCTCCTATCAGCACTCCCCCAGTGGCACCATTAGCTCTCAGAACAGCCTCTCAAACAACCAGTCTAACAGCCACCCTAACAGCCACTCCACCAACAGTGGTCAGGTCCCCCTGTCCCATCCTGCCCAAGCCCACCCTGGCCACGGCTCGCCCCATGCGCAGCACCTCTCGCAGCACGGGGGCCCTCACAACCAACACAGCCAACACGCCCAGCACAGCCAACACAGTCAGCACCCACAGCACCAACAGCACTCCCAGCATCCCCAGCATGCTGCGCACTCCCAGCACGGGCAGCATCCATCGCAGCACCAGTCCCACAGCCAGCACCCGCAGCAACACACGCCACACCCCTCTCAACACACACAGCACAGCCAGCACCCTTCTCAACATGGACAGCAGCACCAGAGCCTCTCCCACCAGCCCCATCCTACCCAGCAACAAATGGCCTGCAACACAGGTAAGGCCCTCTGTCTGTCACTTGTCTGTGGACCCAGCGTCGCCTCGTGTTGTTCACTCTTCATCCTGTCCATCACGCAAACCACATGTAAAGCAAAGACACCGTGCTCACAGCTGAATTGGATTTCTTATCGGTTCTCTTTTTTTTTCTTTTTTCTTTTTGTAATAAAGCACTGAGAAATTGTTTTAGATGCTGAAGACTGAAATCATCTCCTGATTTATTATCTGTGCTGTTGAGAACAAAGCAGTGCTGAAGCCGCTGATTTTTGCAGCCTGTCCAGTCACCTGGCACCTCCTAGTGGCCACACCACAGCACTGAACTGTTTAACACCCCAAAAAAAGGGGGTTTTATATTTGGCATTGACTTCTTATTCATTTTTCAGAAAAAGACTGTCAGCAAAACCATAAATGTGACTAAAATGACCTGACCTTTATGTGTAGACATTATTGTTGTTGTCAGGAAATAATGGCTTGCCATCGCCAGACAAAAGCTGTTTTCACACAATGCACCCTTCAACCTTTTTCGACATTACCCAACAGAGCTCCTTTTAAGACTGCAAATGTCCAATGCAGTCTGATCAGACATTAAATGATCTTTTTTGTATGTATTTTTGGAGCGTAGTGGAGAGAAAACAGGAAAACTGGGAGAAAGGTAAAAAATGGCTACGGGGCAGATTCAAACCTGGGCTTCTGCATTAACCTTTTAGCAAACTGATCACATGCTCAACCCTGTGAGCTTAACCTACACCCCAGACATTAAATAGTCTTTAACCTGCTATCTCTTTATTACAATATCGCTGTGAGCCCGGAGGGAGTAGTTATCCTGAAAATCCTGAGCAAGAGGGTCATCATGTGTGCTCCCTCACTGTAGCCTTTACCCAGGCCACACCCTGTCCTAAACCAAACAATGAGACTCTCCTTATGTGTACTCAGACAGCTGCTCAAATCTCGTTCTTCCGATACTGTCCAGAGTTCATGTGTGAAAACGGCTCAGTCCCCAAAATGTACAGTTGTAAGGTTTAAATTCCTCTTAGCTGGATAAAACTACAACAGATGAGCACTAAAATGTGTCATGTACAGACAGAGATTTCAGTCCTCATACCACATGGGTCCATATTAAATGGGTTGCAACTGGCCCTACTCGGTGAGGGGGAAACTCCATTTGAACCAGAAGGGGAGGCAGACACGTTCTGCCAGAGCAAGTCCTTCTACAATTATGACTGAAACTGTATTTGTCCCTGGCGTGAACTTGGCATTGGAACCAAAATCACATGACTTTGATCTCTTACCTTGTAATGTTACACATAGTATGCTGTGTGTGTTGCAGGTTTACTGTCTGACTGGTACCCAAATCTGGATGCACTGAAAGAAAGCTGTCGTATTGCTAGCAGCTATAACTGGGCTGATGTCGACCTTTCACCTTACCAAGGTGCGGTTTGGTCACTACAAGTAGATCTCAATCCATTTGCAGTTATTAAATTTGATAAGTGAAGAATTTATAAAAACCTTTTGCTGTCAGATTTACCTCCTGTCTAACATGTATGCAGTCAGAAGATTTAAAGCTAGAAGCTGACAGTACAGTAATGCCCCAGCTTTTGATTGAGTGCTCAAATGTTGACTCTGTGGAGTTGATTACCAGTTTAATTAAACTGAGCTCTTCAATTAAATAACACTGCCTTCAAGTTTAATTACCAAAACACCAAGCTCAGCAGGTCAGTTTATCCAATTACAGTCTAGGATTGCAAGGTAGGATGTTTTTAAATATCACCCACTGAAGGTTACTGACATAATGAATATATATTGCAGCAAAGTTTTTGCTACTTGTTTGTAAATTAGTTTGTCATTTACTAAAATTTATATTCTGTGGAAAGTCAACTGGAGCGGTTTCACACATTTCATTGTCACAAAATTTTATTTTAAGTCAGTTAAGTCCAGCACCACCTGCTTCTCATGTGCTAAAATGTATGTTTTATCTTCCCAAGGACTGAGAGAGAGCATGAGACAAGCAGAGTTGAACAACTGGTCTCTGGAACCCACCCAAATCGCAGACCTCTGCTCATCCATCAACCAGTTTTTTGCCCGCACTGGTGTGATCCAGCCACAGGGGGAAGTGCAGCCTCCCGTTTGCCATGGCTCCATGCACACCAACAAACCCAGCCAGCACCTCAACGCAGGTTAAACAGCTGATTCTTAACCTTTCAGCCCTAATCAGAGATCATTGTTGTCGTGTAAATGTGCATGTTTGTGGGTCTGAAATGACTATCGACTCAAAAAGAGTAATCTGTATGTTTCCTTTGTTTGGAAATCCAGTAATCTGTGTAATTAAAGATTCATCCAATTATATTTTGACCCTTTTCCTTGATTAGTTTAGTTTGTATTTCATTATACAGTATATGAATGCTTAATTGCTTAAACATCAGCTTTCATGAGGAAGTCTTTTTGCCGTTGCACATTAACAATTGTTTATCTGGAAGATTTTTCCTCCTTCCAAGTCAATCTCACAAACAGTTTGCCTGTCTTTAAGGACAAATATAGATTTGTTAGCTATGAAGCACTGGTTTCTACACCAATAATAAATATAACTTGACCTTAGAGAGGAAATAATTCACAAATGGATAAAAGTACCAACACTGGCACTAAACTAGGAGAGTGCGAACACTACCCAACCTTATGAACTTTATAGTGTAGTTACATTTAGTTGCATGAGTTATAATAATAACGATGATAATAATAGCAATAATAATAATAATAGGAAGCAGCTTGGCTCACAGTGGTGCATCAGATGTCTCACAGTTCTGTGTTTGTACCTGTCAGAGGACACGCTTGTCAGTTTAATTGGTGATTTTAAAGTGGCTGCTGGTCTAATGATAAATGGTTATGTTTCCCCGTGTTAGCCTGTTAAAAAAAGACACTGTGCCAGGATGAGCGAGGTTAGCCAGGGGTGAAGAAGTCTTCATGCATGGAATAAATTGGCACTGGATCAATCCTAAATGTCTAGACTTAGTTGAATAAGGAGAGATTGTCTGGAAGAATTGAAGATGATTTATTGAGATATATACATTTTGATTAATAAGCTATTTGGCGATTAGACTCCGATGAGCAGAACTGAGTCCCAGCATGGATAGAAACTGGGATGGGAGGCTTGGATGGGGCTTTGAATGACCAGGCTGAGGCAGGTATCATGAAAGAGAGTCTGAAAGGAAGAATGACAGACGAACACTGAGATTTAACTGGTTGATGGCAGCAGATGGCTGTCTTTCCCTGTTTCTTCCTGTTAAATGGGAGTTCTTTCTTCCCAATATCGTCAAGTGCTTGCTCAGAGGGGGTCCTTCAATTGTTTGGGCTTTTGGTCTTTTATTGTATGACTTTACCTTACAATATAAAGTGCCTTTAGGAACTCTATAAAAAAACTGAATGAATTTTGAACCAACTGATTGGTTCAGAGCGCAGAAAAGAAAATGATTGGAGTATTGGGAAGGAGGAAATGACCTAAAGAATAGAGTAGGAAACACTCAGGAAAATCAGGCAGATGAGTGAATACAGATCTTCTTTATTGAACATGTGTGTAAGCTTGATTTGTGTTCCTCATAGTGCTATCAGAGGAGTAAAACAGTAATTCCTCAACCTACCTGCACAATGCTGTGTAGTTTAAAATGTAGTTTTACTTGAAACAAAGAAGCTCTGATAAAGTTTTAAGTTGTAAATTTTAATTATTTATTGTCAAAGTTCCTGAAATTTACCCACAATTTAAATTTTGTGGTAAAATGACTGTTTCCTAAAACGGAAATGGTGGCCAAACTGGAACATTTTGAAAGTGGCTACTGAGGATTTTCAAAATAATAGGTCCTGAGTGGCAAACATGCACATTTTGGTGCCTGTGTCCATTCAGTGTTTATTCTCTCCTTATTTTATATGACTAATTTTAGTGGCCTGAACAGATAAGAAGATAAAACAAAGGTTATTTGTCAGCAAAGGTGTTTTCCATCTGGTTTAAAAGATCTTTTAAAAGATCTTTTAAATAAAGTTTTCATTTTTCTCAGCAGGAAACCTGTACATGGACTCCAGACAAAGTATGTCCATGATGGTTCCTCCAGCATATCCCCACATGCCCCCCATGAGCAGTGCAGGACCCACTATGACAGGTGACATATAGCCACAGCAGAAGCATGGATGAAATTATTCTTCATAACAGTTTTCTTACCTCAGTTTGAATGTTTTGGGTTTTGTTTGTTTCTTTTTTGTTTTTTAAGCACAAACGAACACTTCCTCTGCTCTTGCTCTCCAGGACACCATGCACAGATGAACCAGCAGCACATGATACCTGCCAGAAACTTCCAGATGCATCGCATGCAAGCTGACGATATCCAGGATGATTTTGATTGGGACTCCATTGTCTAGCTGCTAAAACTGCTTCTCGCAAATACACAGGAGCGAAGGGAGGAGATGGAAGCCAGGCTGAGCTGAAAAGGCCGCAGGTGGAGGAGGCCAATGTGGGTGGACTGCAGAAGAACATTTGAGAAGCTTTGGTGGAGAGACGCAGAATTCAGACTTCAGAGTCCTGACAGTTTAAAACAAAAACAAAAAAATAAAAGCAAAACATAACTAGAAAATGTTACTTTGAAGACAATCATATTTAGTCGGACATTTTAAAGTGATTGCTTACAAACTTGTGTAGAAGCAAGTTGAACACATTCACGTCTGAACCACGTGTTCCTCAGCCAGCCCTCTCCCCGTCCCTAGCGAGCGGCCTTCCAAAGTCCGAGCCCCCTCTCCCCTCCCTCCTCCCCTCCTCCAGCCTCCTGCTCCGTAACCGTTATGTGATTTGAGCGGCGTGTTCAGCTTGTAATTCTTCTCGTGTTGACCTTGGCCTCAGCTGCCTCTTGGATGAGTTTCTCTCTTTATTTTTTCTTTTTAAATTGTTATTTTCTTCTTCTCCTTTTCTTTTTTTTTTAAATGAAACACAAGCCGTCGCTGTGAGTGATGTCATGGTGTTTGTTGGTCACTTTTCGGAGAAAGTTGTCCCGCTGTGGCTGAATCAGTGGTTAAAGATAGGTTTACAAAAAACAAACAAACACAGGGTTTAAAATGTGTAACCAGGCTTGATGTTAAACAAACCAGAATAGAAAACAAGAGGGAGATCACGGAAAGTGTCGTGATTTTTTTTATTTTTTAATGTTTTTGTTTGTTTGTTTTGTTTTTTAAAGCCAGCCAATGTGATCAGTCTCACTGCATTAGACGAGTTATGGGAGTACAGCAACTGTCTTTCTTTATTTCTCTGTCCTAAGCACTTCAAGATGAATGAATGAGTGGAAGATGATAGCAGAGAGAAGTCAGATATTAGTCATTTTAAAATTCATTCAGCTCAGAGTTGATTTAAGCTCTCCGTTTGCATCATGTTTGTTCATATTTGGCTCTTCCATTCTCATTAAACAAGTTTTAGGCTTAAAGTTTGAACAGCAGCTTTCAGGCCAACTTATTACTGAACATTAACGGTAACAATATTTGCATGTTGGTCAAACAAGGAGCTGCATACAGTAATGTTTAAGATGTGTGAACTCTAAAGTGTCCTGTTCAGTTAAAAAAAAACATAGGGGGGGGGACTGAAATGTCCATTACTTATATTTTGTAAACAAGACATAAGCTGAAGTCTTTAAACGAAACACTTCTACTGTGGAGGATTTAATTGTTAATTTTCTTCCTGAGAGTTAATTGAGTGTTACCTTAATGTAAGGGAATACAAGGAAAATATTAGTCCAGTTTCAAAGGTACTAAATCGGTCGCGCTATCATCATCACTTTATTACCTTGAAATTTTTGCTATTTGCTCAGATTGAGTGTGAGTTTTTTCTCTCTTAGCAGGTTGTGATCGAGGGTTATGACCTGATAATGAGCGACTGGCAGATCAGTTTTTTTCTTTTGGAGAGAGCTGGGCTGCAGTCGCACAAGCCTAAAGACCGGTCGGAAACTCCCTGGTAACCACCAGTCACTAAGGAAAAATACATTTTTGCTAGGGGAAATCAGCCACAAATATGAGTGCTGTGCTGTGCAGAAAACCTGCTTGTGATTGCTTTTATCACCAGCCGTGATCGCCTGCTGTTTGCACGGAAGACGCCAAGTACTCACTAAGTGTGCGATGGAAACCAGAAATGAAGACCATTTGCTTTCATAGTTAAAGTCTTTTGAAATATGTTTGTTGGGTCTGTAAGGCACAATTTCTGAGTGTTCACAGATACCGCAAAGGCTCTCAACTTGTTTGTTGGCGTCTTCCATGCAAACTACGGGCGACCACGGCAATCTGATAACAACCACAGCAATGCTTTTTGGTGGTTTTTGGCGGAGCACCCTCTTTGCAACTGGTTTCACCAGGCGAC